GAAAGGCATCTCTAGCAGTGTCGTTACACATGCCCCCTCCCCTCCTGGGCGCATGCGCCTCACGTCTCGCCAGAGCATAAGCCCTTGGCGTGTGGCGAGACGAGTTTTTCGCCATCGCAGCGAGCAGCAAGCCGCCCGCCGCAAACAGCCGGAGGCATCGCCACGGCACTGGCTGCGCCGCGGTCCCGCACCCGTCGACGCAGCTCCCCCCGCGGAAGACCGCGCGTAGCAACGTCTTGACGATCGAGATGAGCGTGCCTGAAGCTCGCCCACCTACTGCCCCTGAGAGTTGGTTATTGAGTGGGATCAGCTCCCCCCCTTGGGATCGAAGCCGCCACAACCTCACACCCAACATCCCAGGCGGGATCAGAAGGGGACTCCACACCGGACACCGCCCGGGCACAGCCCCCCTACCCGTCGGATCGCACAGAGGGCCCCCTCGGAGCAGCCCACACACAATCACGCATCGGCAGATTGAGTGCCTGAGTCAGGCAGACAGCACAGACAAGAGGAGAGAGAGGAGAGAGAGAGAGAGAGAGAGGAGAGAGGAGAGGGTGAGGGTGTGAACACACGTGAGGAGTGGGGGAGGGTGTCTGTGGTGGGTTGTAGTCATACTACGTGGTTACAACCACGCGCTCCTCAGGAGCTCAAGGTAGAGCTGAGCGTCCAAGACGCCTCGGTGCCACCCACCGGCGTGAGACCATCCGGATCTACCCAGTGCGTCCTCCGGACGGGCTGGTCCCCGCGATGGCCCACGGTCCTCCGTCGCCTGGTTGAACCCCCTGCCTCCCGGTTGACCCCCCGGTCCCCGTACACGACCATGAAATAAACTCAAAGTCCACCACAGCCACCAGCCTCCACCTCCACCCGCGAGCCGCCACCGCTGCCGCCCGCGACGCCGCCCGCCGCGTCAGATAGCCGCGACGCGCGCATCGAGTCGCGTCGGAGAGCCGCGCCGCACCAGCAGCAGCATCTGCACCACCACCAGCAGCAGCAGCACCACCACCACCACCCGAGAGAGAAGCGCACCTGCCCGACGCCGCCCGCCGCGTCAGACGCTCGCGACGCGCGCGTCGAGCCCAGTCGCACAGCCGCGCCGCGCCAGCAGCAGCATCGGCACCAGCAGCAGCAGCACCACTACCACCAACAGCAACAGAGACAGGCAGTGCAGGCGCAGAGGCGCTCGCAGAGCGGCGCTCAGCGCCGCGCACGCCACGCTGCGGACCGTCGGACGAGCGCACCGTACGTCGGCGGCGAGCCGCGTCGCCAGCCGTCTCGCGAGAGAGCGGCGCCGCCGCGTGCGCGCAGCAGCCGCCGCGGCAGAGGCGAGCCGCGGCGACGTCCGCACTAACGGATAACGGCCATTGGGTCTCTCTCTCTCTAGGGATCTCTCTCTCTCTCTCTCTCTCTCTCCTCGAGAACCTCGAGAAAATAGAGACACGGTACGTTTTCTCCACAGGCGAGGCCCGGCCTCGTGTATTTGGGGCACGGACACTCGCCGACCCCTGGCACACAGCAACGGCGGCCAACCACGGGAGTCGCCTCGCGTACCGTCAAGCGTCGTGTTGGAGTTTGGGTGCCACACTCAGGATATATGTGGTCCACCCTTCGAGCCCTCCTCGAGCTCCTGCTCGAGCTCCTCTTTGGCGGCGGCCCGCTCCCGCCGTCTCGACTCACTGTCGTCACAAAGCTGGACAAGCCGCGGCTGGCGGCGGCGCGGGGCGCCTTCGTGGACGGAGCGGTGCTCGCGGACGGCTCGTGCGGCGCCGCCGTCTTCTACTCCGCGGGCCACGAGCTCAACACGCACGGCCGGCTCACCCTTCCCGCCGGAGCACCCGCAGACTCGAACCTCGCCGAGCTTGCGGCTCTCGCCCACTGCCTCCTGCGCCACCCGCGTGGCGAGCCGCTCGCAGTCTTCTCCGACTCGATGCACGCGCTGCGCTGCGCGCAGGCGGCGGCGGAGTCGGGCGGCGGAGGCCGTGGCCGTGGCCGGAGGCGCGTGTCGGATCAGACGCAGGACGGAAGGTGGGGCGGGCTCGTGCTCTTGATCCAGCTGCTGCTGCGGCTGAGGAGAGGCCGGACGGCCTTCTTCAAGGTGCAGGCGCACAAGGGGAACCGGTCGAACGAGATCGCAGACGCGCTCGCCCAGAAGGGGGCCGGCGGCGACGGCTCGCCTCTCCCGCTCCCCGCCTTCAGCGGCGGCAGCCGACGACACAGTGAGGCCGCGTGTGAAGAAGGCGCCGCTCAACGCTTGGCTGTGAACAGGCGGCCCTCCTTCCGCAGTGAGGCGGAGGCTCGCCGCGTGCCGGTGGGCGCTCAGCTACCTGCTCGCGCACCCACCCGAGGAGCAGGCGGCGGCTGCGCGGCACGGGCGCGGCCGCGACGGCAACAGGCGGCACCTCGGCGGCGCCTCAAAGCACCCAGCGCGCCGGGCGGGCTCGCGGCACGACGCCGCGCCTCCGCCGCCGACGCGGCGCGAGGCGGTGGCGGTCGGGAGCGGCGCGGAGGCGGGAGGCGTGCTTGCCGTCGACTGCGAGATGGTGCGCATCAGGCGAGCGCGGGCGGCCCCTCCCCGAGCCTGTACCGCACACCTCGCTGGAACCTCGCTGCAGGTCGGCGTCGGAGCGAGCGGGCTGCCTTCCAAGCTCGCCTCCGTCTGCGTCGTCAACGAGGCGGAGCGGCCCCGGCGCCCGGCCCGACACCTCCCCGCCTCCTCTGCCCGGGAGGCCGTGTGTGGAAGTGTCTCGGAAGTGTCTCGGAAGTGTCTCGGAAGTGAGCGCCCTGCTACCGCCAGGCGGAGGAGGTGGTCTACTTTTCGTACTGCCGGCCGCCTTGCGCTGTGACCGACTACCGAACGCGCTGGTCGGGCGTGACTGCGCCGATGCTCGCCACCGCGCCGCCCTTCGAGGCGGTGTCGAGGGAGGTCTCCGCCTTGCTCAAGGGCAAGGTTGTCGTCGGGCGAACACCTGCAGCGCGCCTCTGCCGGCGGCCGGACATGCGCCCCCGACCCGTCCGCAACATGCCGCCACTAGGCACGATTTGCAGCACGACTTTGCGGCCCTCGGGTTTGGGCACCCGCGCAGGCTGGTGCGCGACACGGCGCGGGGGCTGCCCTCGCTGCTCGGCACCCGGGCCGGCCGGCCGCGCAAGTTGCGCCACCTCGCCGCCGAGTTTCTGCAGTGGCGGATCCAAGAGGGATGCCACTCGCCGGAGGAGGACGCGGCGGCGGCGATGCGCCTCTACCGCCGCTTCCGGCCCCAGTTCGAGCTGGCGGTGGCGCGAGCGGAGGAGAGGCGCGAGGAGGCGCGCCGCAGGCGCGCTGCAGCGGCGGAGGCGGGCGACGACGGCGAGGGCGCCGAGTGGGGGGAGAGCGACCAGGTCGGGCCGGTGGGAGGCGCAGGAGAGGCGAGCGGCGCGGGATCATCCTCTGAACCAGGCGGGTCGAGCACGAGCGAGCACTCTCTGTGTGAAAATCTGTCGTCGGCCGTCGGCCGGCGCGGGCGCGGGGCGGCCCATACGTCGGCGATCGACGGGATCGACATCGATTGAACCGGCTGACTGCGCACAGCACCCATCCTCTGTGTGCTGGCTGAGTCCACGGTCAGGGTGCCGAGCTATTGTGTAAACGCTCCGTAGAGAGCCACCAGCCGGAGAGTGGCTCAGCCGACAGCCCCAGGCCCGGCGGGCCCCAGGTCCCACAACCTCTGAGACCGCCTAAGCACCTAAGCGGCCTAAGCGGGGGGGGCGCTTAGGGTGCTTAGGTGCTTAGGTCGCCCTCGCGAGCGTAGCTACGTGCTGACATTATCATACGAGTGATCCTGAGTACCCACATGATGTGCCTGCCTATCGCTAAGCACGGGATTGCGGCCTCACAACGCTCACGATCCGGTTGAGCCCTCGAATATCACACGCATGCACGTGGGGTGCCGGGACGGCTACATTTCAGCGTCGCACGCATCCGCCAGCGCTGCGAACTCCTTGTCCATCCGATTTTTGTACGTTTGCATCGCTGACTTGACCTCCTCCGCATCTACATGGTCCAGGAGATCGCCATCAAAGACCCAAGCTACAGAGTGGAAGCCGCGGTCGTCGGGACCACTGCCAAACCTGCCAGAGACAAGGTACTCCAAGCGCTCGTCGTCTTCATCGACAGGGTTCCTCAGCGCCACCGCAGTCATCTGGCTCGGGTCACAGTAGCGCATGCCGAGCACCTCTTCAATCTCCAGCAAGGCTGCATCCGTTGACCCGGCAACCTTATCGCTGGCGAGTGGTGGCAGACGGCCGACCGCCCGCATGCACTTGCGTCGATGGCAAGCCTTCTCGGTGTGATCGGAGTTCCAGTTCCACCCGGCAGCACAAGTGGTCTTGCCGCATTTATCGCATCTATCCGCCCGCCGCGGTGCCGGCTTAGAAGGCTGAAGCGAAGCGCGGAACGCCCAAATTTGAGCGTTTCGAGCGGTTGTTCATGGCGCAAGGGGTACGCAAAAAAACTAACTTCTGAGCAGGTTCGAGCGACCGGCCCTCGAAATCCCTGCACATGCACATGCACATGCACATGCACATGCACATGCACATCGGCTCGCCTCGATGGCGGCCGGGCCGGTGTGGGCAGGGTGTCCGTGCTGCGAGAATAAGGTGCTAGGGCTGGGCACAAAATAGGGATAGGCGAAAGTGCCGGTTTGGAATGGGCGATCTCATCTCTAGTCTACAGCGTTCACGATATCAGGGATGTGTATAGTTTTACACACAGGGTGTCTTCCCGTGTGGCGTGTGTTGTGCGAGGGAGAGTCTGTTTGTTTTCTTTCTCGGGTCGGGGGTGGGTGGGGTGGGGGTGACGGCTCTGGGTGAGGGCGACATTCCTCGTTACAATGTTTTTGTTACATGACATTCCTTGTTACATGAATCGTACCAATGTTATGTTTTTTCAAAAAAGTTTCGCGTCTTTCCTGGTGTTTTCGCCTTCGACAGTATTCCGCCGGTTTTGAAGAAATTCGGGTAAAATGCTGCTCTGTGGCATGACGGCCGCCCGCCTGCTGCGCGCGTGCGTTGAGACCCTCGTGGGCTTCGTGCTCTGGCCAGCGATCGGTTTGATTTTGCTTCCATCCACCGTTCTCGTTCACTCGCCATTCATCGCGCTCGGCCTCTGCAGCTCCGACGCTGCTGTCGGCGTGCCTCCCGCCTTCCTCCCCTGGCGTCGCCTCCCATACCTGATTCCGATGATGCTCTTCGTCGACCTGCCGATTGCCGCCTTACTCACAGCGACATCTCTGATCGAGCACATGTTCCTCCGGAATCCCCTCATCCTTGCCGTCTACAACCTCTGCCGAGGCAGCTCACAGCCCCCGAACCGCGTGCCAACGCTCCCCGACACCCCCGACACCGAGTCCGGTCTTCACGCCCACGAGCGGCCGCGCGCAAACACCAATGACGGCGCCCGCTACCGCGAGCACGCCTCCATCTGGGCTGCCCTCGAGGGCGACGGCGACAATGTCCGGCCGGGAGATGTGCGCCTGATCAGTCTGAACTGGCTCATGGCGCTGGCAGAGCGGGGCGGCGTGCTCTCGCGGCGGCAGGACCTGCCAGAGGAGGCCTTCTTAAGCTCTGCTCAGCTGAGGCGGATCGAGCAAGGCGCCAGGCGCGGCTTCGACCTCGCCGGCTTTGAGGAGGCCACCGAGCGCATGACCAAGGAGCCCTCCTTCTCATCCACTCTCGGCTGGCTCGCGAGCTTTTTCGGCCGCAAGCGCAACCCCGACGGGCTGCTCCCGATCATCTCCGTCTCCTACTGCTGGCTCGAGGCGGCGCATCCAGATCGTGAGGGCCGCCAGCTCCAATTGCTCTGCCGCAAGCTGCGGGGCCTCTACGGCGGGCGCGGCCTGCTCGGCGCGTGCCGCAACTACGGCTTCTCGGACGTGGTGAGCTGCCTCCCGCGCCTTGCCCATCGTTACTCCCTTCCTCACCGCCACCCCCTCCCTGGCTCGCGCAGGGCGTGTTTCTTGACTGGAGCTCGGGCTACCAGAAGGACCCGGCGCAGTTTGCCGAGCGGCGCGCGTATGAGGCGAGCCGGTCGGGCGAGCAGAAGGCCGCCTTCGGTCGCATGCTGGAGAACACGATGGTGAGCCCACGCCAGCCACTCCCCCTTCCCCTGACAGCGCCACAACATGCACCGCTCTCACGGCACACGTTGGCTTTACATTCCGCGTTAGGACCTCTGGTACGCGCACGCCTCGGTCACGGTCGTGCTGCTCACGCAGCTGCCGGACGAGCTGCCCGCCGGCTTCGACCGGAGCCGGACCTACGACACTCGCGGCTGGACGACATTCGAGCGGTGCTCCGCAGAGCTGGGCGCAAAGCCCTCTAAGCTGGGTTTTGCCAAGTGGAAGCTCGTCATCGACGTCGCCAGCGGCGACGGCGGCGCTCAGCGGCGGCTCCCCGCGACTCCGGAGCGCATGGCGAAGCTGCTCGCCGCTTGCCGCTTCACCAACGGCGCGGACTCGGCGGCCGTGCTCGCGCTCTACGTAAAGACGGCGAAAGGCGTGCTGGGCACCGTCGAGAAGCTCGACTACCACGGGCTGCCGCTCGTGCGTGGCGACGCGTGGACTAGCCCGGCGCTGCTGGCGGAGGCGCTAAACCATTGCGAGAGCCTCCGGACCCTCAGCTTAGTTGGGACACGCCTCGACGACGAGGGCGTGGCGGAGCTTGCGGCGGGGCTCGAGGACGGCGCGCTCCCGGCGCTTGAGATTCTCCACCTTTGGGCAAACCGCTACGGCGCGCGCGGCGTCGGCGCGCTCTGCGGCGTTTTCCATCGCGGCGTGGCGCCGACGCTGCAGATGCTCGCCGTCGCTCTCACGCCTATTGGCGACGAGGGAGCCGCGGTGCTAGCTACGGCGCTGTCGACAGGCACGCCGTCGCATGGGCTGGCGTTGGGGGGGTGCGACGTGGGCGACAAGGGCGCGATGGCACTCGCAGCTGCCCTCCCGGCCGCGGGTCAGGGGTGTCACCTGTACGCCCCGTTGAATCGGATCGGCCTCGCGGGCCAGGCGGCACTACTAGAGGCGCTCGAGGCGAAGCACGGGCCGCAGCCGGGGCATGCGATGGGGGTGTATCAGGTTAGCTTGTTTCCCTGGTCGTACTCGCTCGTGCGCGCGTTCGGGCGAGGCATGCGCCGTGTGCAAGAGAGCGGCCGACTCACTTTAGTTGTGATAGAAAAGTAATATATCTTTACTTCCAAAAATTTGCTGTGATGGAGAAAAAAATATGCTTCGAACGGGCACGCATACTCTCCCCCCTCCATTCTCTCCCCGTTGGCGCGGGCGCCCCTCACCCCCCACCCCCTAGCCCCAGTATCGCGCACTAGAGTCTATGGCTACCGTAGGCAATGGTTGGGTAGTAGGGCTAGAGGGTCGCTCTACACTTAGCCTCTGCAGCGAGCGAGCGCTCAACTTAGCCCCCGCACGGAGCCGGGCTCGGACTTAGACCCCCATGGTCGGGGGCCATGAACTTAGACGACATAAGGCCAACTCCGGGTAAAACCCGGGTATACCTGAAAAGCTTTCAGGTTTACCCGAAAAATACCTGGACGCGTCCCGACCAACGTTTGCCGCGCACGACGCCATATCGCCTTCTCCCAGGGCCAGTGCGCTACTTGCGGCGCGCAACGCCTGCTCAAGTACGCGCAACGTACCATATGCTGCCGCTATGCGTGCCTTAAGGCGGCTGCGGCGAAGCGGCGGGCGCGGCATGCCGATGGCAGTGCGGACGATGCGGTTGCGATGTGTTCTGCTTCAAGATCGTGGCGGTGCTTGGCATGCACTTCTGCGATCCCAATCAGCTCATCGCAACGAAGCAGCGCAACAAGCTGGCTGCTGTCAACAAGGCCCTATGCTACCTCACGCGCGGATCGTTCAAAGAGGACCAGCATACACAGGCTTCTCTGACATGCGTTTGTTTGAGCTTGAGGCTATTTGTGAGAACTGTTTGGCGAAGAAGTCGCCGAAGATTGCGCTCAAGAAGCAGCGACGAGAATCGGAAGAGGAGGATGCTGCGGCGGCGATTGCTGAGCATGAGAAGGACCGATCGCCCGCCGCAGGCGAAGAAAATTTGGGGGTTGCGCCGTATCGTTTGTACGTTGATCACGGTGGGAGCCTCTTGGCCCCAGGCCGTCCACGGCCGACTTAGCCGATGTAAGGGGCTCCCGCTGATCTTAGACCGCGCAAGCACTCCAGCGTGGCTAGCCACACTTAGACCCGTTAGGCCTCCAGGCTCAGAACTTAGACTACTACCCAACCAGTCCGTAGGCCACACACTTGAGCGTCGCCGCCGGGGGTTCCCTGCCCTGGTGGGAAGCTGGCCGCTTATCCGAAGACACACTGCACCAGGGCTTGCTAAAGGCGCGGGGCGAATGAGCTAATGAGTGATGAAGTTAGTGCCTTGGTGCCCGTCCCCCATGGATGGCTTCCCCTGATCTCTCTCACCGTCTCGAGAGGGTACTCCCATGTACATGGGGCCTCTAATTCGCATCTCTAGTTCGGTTCCCCCTTTCGTCAAAATTGAGGGGCGGCTAAGCGACCGTGGTCAAGGGGGGAGGCTGGCGCTGGCGTCGCGATCAACACTCCCCGGAGCCCCACGAGCCGAGGCGAGAAAGTTCGAATTAAAGAGCGGAGTTTGAACATGGTAACTGGCCGGAGGGACGTCAAGACCGACGGCAAAGCCCATCATCGTCGTCGGCGCAAAGAGCCGCGGCTGTAGCTCCGAGCTCATCGGCGGAACATCCTACCCCCGTGAAAAGAAGGCCGGCATAGTGGGTTCTGTCCCTCTCGAACACCTTGTTGTCTCGGACGGTGGCAAGCAGGTTCGAATAGTAGACTCGGTCTCCCGCGTACACCTTGCCGCTCTTTACTGTGGCCATCAGAGCCGCGTAGTAAGTACGGTCTCGTCGATACACCTTCCACATCCCTTCGCTCACCACGACGGTCGCGAGCAGGCCGGCGTAGTACACCTTGCCCTTCTCGTACACCTTTCGGTCTTGAACGGTGGCGAGCAGACTGGAATAGTAGATCCGGTCTCGTGCGTACACCCTGCAGCCGGACGGCGCCGAAGCGACGACTGCTCCAGGCGAAAGCTGTGGGGGTGCTGCTGGCGATCCAGGTGAAAGCTGTGGGGGTAAAACTGGCGGACTGGAAGGGCCGGCATTGGCGGCGGCAACTGATGCGATGGCCAAGGAGAGTCGAAGCATGAGGTATCCAGGGGTGATAGACCGGTGGCCAGCAGGCAGAACTTCGTCGAATCAAGGGGAATTTCAGGCGGACGCGCTCCACACACGCTGCACGCTCGTCGAGGCAGAGGAAGGAGGAGCGTCCCCCAGCCGGCTAAACCTGTAACAGAGAACAAGAATTCCAACCTCCGGGTGTGAGGTTACCGACTCGCGACTGCACTCCAAGTGCTCGAAGTGCACGAGGCCACTCCCTCGCACAACACTAGGTCCTGACAGGACTGAGAACAAAGAAAGAACTCCGGCTGCCTAATTCTTTCCTTTGAACTAGCTTGTGAGCCAGGAAAAGAAAGAAAGAAAGCAGCGAGAAATTCAAGGGAGGGTCGGGAGAACGGCACGCAAAGAAATAACGGAGAAAATTCTTTTTGCTCAACTTTCCTTCGACTCAGCAGATATCTGCCATCAGGCTCTGCACTCTAACCGCTCGCTGACCGATGCTGGCGACCTTCGTTCTATGCTCCAGTTTTCACATTGGGCCCGTCGCTCGTGCTCCGTCCAGTCGCGTGCCGGCGACCTGCTGGATGAACGCCAAGGGCGAGCCGAACGCCGATAAGCTCGACCCGAAAAACAACCTGGTCGACCCGTCGCTGCGCCCCGAGCTGCCGACCGGCACGGCCTTCGACCCGGCGCAGCCGCTCGGGCTGAGTCCGTTCATGGGCATGCCGCACACCGCTCACAACGAAGAGGCCTTCAAGAAGAAGGCCAGGCCGGGCGAGGGCAAGGGCGCTGTCACGCTCGGAGGCTGGCCGCCCGTGAAGGGCAGCCTCGAGGAGCGGGTGGAGACGGCGCGGTCGGCGCACTCGATGGCGGTGGAGCAGCGCACCGCCGAGATCGTCCAGCCGGACCTCGCTCTCTTTTGCGCCGACGATATTGACGCCGAGGAGCTGACGCGACGCAAGGCGGGTGCGCGCGAGCGGGCGATAGAGGAGGCCGCGACGCTGGGCGCGCTGGACCAGGCCTACACCAAGTACGCGGCGATGGCCAAGGCGCAGCAGGAGGCGGAGGCCGCCGCCGCCGAGGCGGGGGCAGAGCTCGAGGCCATTTTGCTGCGGCTCGAGGAGGAGATGTACAGGTAGGGCGCGTGGGGCGCGGGGCCAGGTCCGGGCCGCCCAGCGGAGGAGACCGTATGCAGGCGGAGCACTGGCGCCTGCAGGGCGCCGCCCCTAGGGCGTACTCAGGGGTCTGAGCGCGAGTGGAGGCAGGACCACGAGACGGGGTGGCATGCGGTGGGGAGGGAGGACACTCGTGTGGGCGTGTTTGCATGAGAGGGGAGATATCAGATATTTTGTAAATTCCATCACTTTTTTTGAGCTAGCCTTGTCGATGTTAGGAAACAAAGCAAGGCGGACATGGCATATCGCTCTCGGGCCCACAGACATCCCGCACACCCGCCGCCCCCACCCGACACCCCGGCCGGGAGACCATAAAGTTAAAGAGGGGAGTGACAGTTTGGGACGGCAACAGTCGAGTACCTCGCAGCTCGCACTCCATGTGCGAGAACGCAGGGTAAATGTAAGCCGGATGGCTCGCAGGCCACCTCTTGCTAGGGTGCCCACAGGACCCAAAAGAAAATAGCTTTCGGCCTCAAAAAGGGACGCACGAGGCAAATCTGATGTTGGCCAGTTCCAATAGGAGCGAGGCCTCTTCCGTTGGGGGACCGAGTGACTAGGAAACGAGGGTTCCCCGGTTTGTCACGCGCGAGCGCGAGCGTGACACTGCACTTGGCGCCGAGCGCCCGCGGCTCAGACCTTGTGCAGGCCACCCCTCGGTGACCACGCCGGTCCGGACCGATGGCGCTCGGTGTGGAGCAAGCAAGACCCCCCCCCCCCCATCGGCGCGCGCTCGCCATTCCAACGGCCGCCAGGAGCACCAAGAGGACTCCTCATGGCTGTGGTCAAGTGGGCTTCGACCGGCCTCGGCTGGGGGGGCGGGTTGTCCCGGCTGCGGACGCCTTCTGCAGCCCCCTGGGCCCGTGACAGCACCCCAAAACTGCCCCTCGGCGGCATACAGCACTGCCAGCCAGCCTCTTCCTCCTCCTCAAGGGCTGTACTATAGGCCATATTGCGCCGCCTCCTACTGGCAGCCGGGCGGGCGCGCGCCGCGGGCGCCTCGGCGCGCGCACGGCTCGCAAAGTTCGAACGAGTACTGCCGCCCGGCCGCCTCAAGGCTGCCGGGCGGCAGTACTCGCCTCGCAAGGCGCGCACCGGCTGATCTGGCTGCTGCGCCGGCGGCCGCTGCGCTGGCCGCTGCTGCGCCGGCTGGCGGGCGGTACGGCCGCCGGCGGCCGCTGCACCCGCGCCTTCCCTCGCGGGCGCCGTCGCGCCGCGCGCGCCCAACTGTGCTGGCACACGGCACGCGTCGTCACACAGCCGCGGAGAATAGGCGGTGCAGCGCGCGAAGCGCGCGCGATCTCGTATTTTTAAGGCTGGATCCGGCCATTCCAAGGGTATACCTTTGAGAATCCCCAGCGTCCCACCCTCCTAGTCACACTCTCAATTTCTCGACTGGCCAACACGAAGTGCTGCGATCGGGGGTCGCCCATTTCTTTTTTCCTTTCTTTTTTTGGGCCCTGAGAGAGAGATTTTTAGCAATACCAAACAACTCTAACACTCACACGTCATTTGGGGCCTGGAGCCCTGTTCACGCGCGCGCGAGACGTGCAGACAGGGTTGCCAGGTGAGAGCGAATGGCGCGGTTCACGCCTCTGTTTTTGTTTTGTTGGGCCCTGTGGGCACCCTACTCTTGCGTCTTGGTCTTGCGCCCCGAGCTGACCCTGAGAGAGAGTTTTTAGAAGCCAACAAGACTTCTCTCCTGATATCCTCTACCGCACTGATCACTTCCGCTCCCTCGCTCCCAACCCATCCACCTCGCCTCGGGCCGCGCCGCGCGATCTCGCCACTTTTTTCTTCTTTCGTTTATCGGAATGGGGGTATCAATAAATAGAGCAGTCATCTCCAGGAGAGATGGGCGACGCACGAACACAGAGGCACAGTGCGCACCCCGCCCCGCTCCCAGGGGCGTGCAGCATGTGCCCACTTTTTTTTTTCACGGAAATGCGGGTCGAGCTGTCATTTGTCTGCCCCGCCGCAGGCGCAGCTTCCGCGGCCCGAGTTGCGGCTCCGGCGCTAGTCCTATCGTCCGATTCCGCCTCGTCGCCGCGGACCGTCAGCCCGGGCTCCTCGCTCGGCCGCCTCAGCCAGCAGTCTGGCGAGATTCGCTGCCCGTTTTGGAGGACCCGCGCCTATGATGCGCTCGAGGCGGCGCTCGCGGTCGCCAACTTTGTCGCGGCGCGCCACAAGAGCATCCTCGACCGGCAGTGGCTTCCCGGCTCCGACGCCTCGCTCTTCGCCCCGCTCGCGCTTCCCGTGCGGCCGATGGGCGAGAAGACGCGTGGGCTGTCGGTGGAGGAGGTGATGGCGGTGGTGCGTGAAGACATCGAGGCGCGCGGGTACTACGTGACGGGGCGGCTGACGCAGGCCGTCTACTCGGACGGCTGCTACTTCGACGCGCCCGACCCGGACATGCCCGTCAAGTCGCTCGGCAGGCGCGGCGCCGCTTGCCGCGCCACACAACGGATGCCCGCCCTCGGCTCTTGCTCTCGGGGCTGTCCTGCTGAGGGCGGTGTGCGTGTGTGTGCGCGGCAGGTACACGGACGCGCTTCGGGGGCTGTTCGACCCGTCCCTCTCGGCGATCGAGCTCATCGAGCTCGAGCGTGTGTGCGACCGCTCCTTTGTTGCCCGGTGGCGCCTCTCTGGCGCGCTCAAGCTGCCATGGTACGGGGCCAGCACGCACCGCGTCGCGGGGGCCCGGGGAGGGGAGGGGAGGCAGAGGAGGTGGGGAGGAGGGGGGGACGTGTGCGTGCGTGCGTGTGCGTGTGTTTGATTGGGCCCCTCTCGCGCATCTTCTCTCGGCCCACGACCCTCCCCTCCCCTCCCCCTCCCTCTCCCTCCCTCTCCCTCCCACCCCCTCCCACCCCCTCCCACCCCCTCTCCCTCCCTCCTCCCAGGCGCCCGCGGATCAAGCCGTACCTCGGCGCGACGCGGTACGAGCTTGCGGAGGATGGGCTCATCGCGGCGCACAGCGAGCAGTGGCGCCTCTCCGCTAACCACCACCTGTTAAGAAGACGGTCTTTACTCGTAGGCGCACAGCGAGGAGTGGTCCCTCTCCGCTCTCGAGGCCTTCGCCTCCACCGCGTGGCCGTCGCTCGGCGCTCCGCCCGCGCCGGAGGCGGGCGTGCTGCAGCGCGACGCCGACTTGTGGCGCAGGCTGCGGCCGGAGCCGCCGCCGCCGCGGCTGACGCGGAGAGCGGTGCCGCTGCAGCGCGGGGCGGCGAGGCTGCGGGGAGGGCTGTTTCCCCCAGAGGGGTGAGTCGCTTCTGAGATCACGCAGACACCTGCTGCTGACTCAATTGCCTCTCGGTCCACGACCCTCTCGGTGCCATCTGTATCCTCGGTCATCTCGGCATCTGGCATTCGCAGAGGGCGGTGCCAACAGATAAATGTATACGAAACGACAGGGAAATCGCAAGCGCGAAACTTTACCCTCAGCCTCGGCTCTCCTGTGATGCCTGCCACCTCGCCAAAGGCCCGCTTAAAGGCGCCACCCTTAGGCAGCGGCAAATCGTCAACTCAGTGTTTTCAGTGTGAGCTCGATGTTACTACACGTGGCGGTTCCCACAAAGTCTCACCTTTGCCGGTGTAACAAACATTCTTTAAGCACGGAGAGTCGCCTTGGACTGTCAGCGAGCCTGACCCAGTACGGGGTGACCGTGAGTTGACCAGGGGTTGTGCGCCGGGTCCTCCTGCTCGGCTCCAGCCGGTAGACAAGTCTTGTCACTAACAGAGTAAAAGGATCTGACCTCGGGGCCGATGTGACCAAGCGCTGGTAGCGTGGTTTTACCTCACACCCATGGTCTCACAGTGTGCCGGCAGTCGCCGAGCAGTGTCGCTCACACAAGCCGCAGCACAAGTGACTGAGGGCCAGTGAGGGCGAGCCCATCGCTGTCACAGCTGTGGTAGCCGCACAGTAGACTGTGTCAACTGTGCAGAGCGTGTGAGCAGCCGAGGAGCTGCTCTCCAGGCTTCTGACGCAAAGAGCTGCATGCCATCGAAGGCGCTGTCGAGGTTCGCCGAGCGCGGCGAAATCGGAGGACACCGTCACCGACGAGCGCGTTGGACTTTTCACTCCGGACAAAGACCGCTGCACAGCGGACGGTACGGGCCGTGCAGCGGTCATAGCGGCGAGGCGCGGGACCGTCTGTGGCGAAGTGGGTCGCGTCCTCCGATTTCCTCAACTCACGGTCCACGCCCTTTTACGCAGTAGCGGGCCCGGTGCAGCGAGGTCTCAAAGCAGCGTACGTGTTCGACTCTTCGACATGGCCAAAAGTGGGGGGCCCGGGGTGCCGTTGAGGCGTTGCTCAGAGACCAGGCCCTCCAATCGTACGCGCGTGTCTTCGTTGAGTATGCCAAAGGGATGGACTCCCACGCAGTGCTGCATTGTCCATTGAAGCCAAACAAACAAAAGGACCGGAAATGGGGCCCACAATTTTCCGGTGTATGTAGCTATTACGAACATACCCGTAGGGTGAACTGCTGACAGGGTTTGCCGATGAGGAGCGATCCGAACGTGGTATTCGGGTGTTTAGATCACTACCGCGTACTGTAGTTCCTCTCTTTATTTGGCAGCGCTTTTATTCTTCTCGAGAGTGCCAGTCCGCACCTGTGTCGAGCCTGTCTCCTGTCTGCTGTGAGAGAGAGTTGATTTTCCTAAATTCTTCTCGAGAGACGAGAGTTTTGCACGGCGATCGATCGAGGATGCTCAGGCGTGCGTATCCGTATGAGAATGAAGCGCCACACACATAACTGAGTGAGAGTGAGTCACCCACTAAGCTAAAAGTACGTGCGAAGGTGGTACGCGAAGATGAGCCAGCAGACCGGCACACTCACTCACGCACGCAGTTGTGGGTGCTTGACCGGGGTATTAATTAGTTGTCGCTCCCCAACCGCCCGCAACCTCTGTCGGCAGTCTTCGTTCGAACCTTCGGGTAAGTTTGTAAGAGCCCCACTGAAGATCGGCCCGCGAGGTGAGGTGCTAGTATGAACCGATCGTCGACAGTCGTAGTGCGCTTGCGTTCGGCGGCTAGTGTTAGAGAGTGGTTGGTGCGCTTACTTACCCGAGAAGAATCGTTCCTTCGGCGTCGCTCCTCATCGCAAACCCTGTGAGCAGTGCACCTTTGTTCGTAAGAGCCACGTACACTGAGAGAGCGTAGGGCCCTTAGAGTGTCGGGGCCTAGATAGATAGAGAACACAAACAACCCCCTCTCTCTCCCTTCTCTCCCAGTAAGCTAAAAGTACATACACTACACTGAGAGAGAGAAACGTACGTACACTGAAATGCTCCACGAAGACGCGGCAACATATCGAGGAGACGCGGCAAATCGATTACGACGCAAATGGTGGGACGCGTCTCAACTAAAATCGGCCGTCCTCCCGTTGGCCTTCAGGCAACTTGCAAGCACAGCCTTTGCGCCCCTGATGGCATGCCTGCCTCTCCTACTCCACGCGCTGGCTCAGCCTAGGGTTCGAATCCCAAGCGCCGGCGTTCAGGTCATCAATGCGAAGACTGGTGGCCAGCTCTCCTGCCTGGTCGAAGGACAAGACGAAGACACCGTGAGGGCAGAGATCACAGATCCGTCTCTGGGCAGGGTACTGCGCCGGATTGTCACACAATGCTGCAAGCCCAACGTAGCCGGAAGTGGCGCTTGCGTGCGCGTTTACAACAGGGGCCGCTCCTGCACATCCGGCAAGCCACCTGCAGAGCCAATCACCAAGCGCACGTACGCTGAGGCGGTCGCCGCTTGTGCAGAGATTGGGAGGAATGAAGAAGGAGTGCCGTTCACTCTCTGCAATCAGACAACCTGTTCGGGCAAAGGCTGCCTGTACGACAGTTATCCGCTCTACTCGTCTCGCCCGTGCCTTGGGCGCACCCCGCCCCTTCCTCCTCCGTCAGCAACCCAAGATTTATACCGCTCTCCGTCACCACCGCCACCGCCGTCACCAGTCATCCGGTCGCCAAGCGACGCTGAGCAGATGTCTGCGTCCGTGCCCTACCCGCCCGCGCGCCCGCCCTATCCGCCCCTCGACTACGTCCAATCGGTGCTGAGGCAATTTTCAGACGAGCTGGAGAGAATCCGCTCGACCATCGCGGGCACGGCCGCAATCGAGATGGAGATTGCGCGGAAGGAACAGGAGGCGGCGGAGGCGCAGGCGCAGGCGGCAGAGGCCAGCGCTGAGGCGGCGGCTCTGAAGACGAGGCTTGCGCTAGAGCTTGGGTCGAGGATGCAGGCCCCTCCGCCTCCTCCGCTGCCGTGCGTCTTCGACGTATGCCCCGGCGAGCTCCATGACCTGATGATGGAGTTCGCATACACCATGTACCGCCGAGACGACAGGGGAGATGTCGCGTCCAGCATGATGCTGTTTCGGGCAGAGGTTGTCCGGAAGCTAAACATCGAGGGGAAGACCTACGACGACATCATTGCCGGCGCGAACGTCACCTTCTCTCCTCGCGCCAGGTACAGCCTGAGCTCAAAGTTGGACGGCGCGTTCGAACAACTCGTCAAACAGCTGTCAATCAGTGCGAGGATGAAGGACACCCTCGTGAACTTTGTGGACGTCAGCACTACAATTGAGTCCGCGAAATTCCTCCAAGGCGCGGGGGCCCTGAAGCAGGCCTGGACAAGAGACGAATTCACGCGCGCCTTTGCCGAGATGATCGTCGACGTTGCGATCAGCTCGCGAGCCTTCTGGTTCAAGCCGGCGGTACGAATCAGCGAGGACGCGAAGTCGGTAATCAAGGCGGATATCAGCGGGGCAGTCATTGGCGGCACCTGGGGCGCCGTCACCGGCTCCTTTGCGGGCGGGATCGGCGCTCTACCAGGCGGGCTGCTTGGAGGGATGATCAGCGCAACGTACGGCTCTGCGGCAGCAGGCCTCTGGTCGCTGTGGTGAAGAGTCGGAGCAAGAAGGAGTCGTTGCGCTCCCGTGCTCGCGATCTGAGCACTGGGGACGCAAGAAGCCAGTCGAAAGGCACGCGTGGCGGATCGAAAAGGGAAGCTGAGTGGACAGCTGGACACAAGCTGCAAACGGGCGGAAGAGCGGTGCAAGGCGCTGTGGGGGCGGAAGCAAAGCAAGAAAGGGTCTGGCTGGGCCCGGACGCAGGAGTGTGCCGGTGCGCGGTGGATGTCAGCGTGAAAGAGTCTCTCTCTCTCTCTCTCGCTCGACTTCTTGCAGGCCTGCCCGAGTGTGTGATGTCGGGGTTGTCGATCTAGCTTGTCGTCACTGTCTGGAATGTAGCGTGCGAAGGTACCTACTGAGGTGATATGTATAAAGGTACGAAGGTGATGAAGGCGATTGGAAAAAGAATAAAAAAGAATGAAGGCTACGCAAAAAAAAGAATAAAACTGGCCGCTCTCTCACCTCGCCCCTGCTCCCCCCCTCTGGACGTGTCATGGACGTGTCATCGACCTGTGCGAACGCCGCGAGAGCGTCTCCCCGCAAGGACCTGCCCCTTTCGACCGCAGGCAACAGCAGCCGCAGCAATGTTCACTGACCTCAAGCTGCCACCGCGGCAGACCAGTGGCGACGACTCGACGGACAACGAGAGCGCATCGCAGGCGCCGACACGCCGTTCCACCGACACTGCCGCCATCGCGGCTGAGCGCTCCAAGAAGGGGTTCGACGCGGTGAGGCTCTCGTCAGCGCTCTCCGAGGCGTCTCAGGGCAGGGAGGGGCGGCGCAGCCTCGCCCTCTCGTGCTCACTGACGACCGCCGAGCGCGCCGACCTGCACACCCTCTTCTCCCTCCTCGCGGCCCGCTGCGGGTGCGCTCTCCTGTTTGCGGGTCCGCCCGCGCTGCCGGCGGACAGCGAGGCCGCGGCGGCGGCGGAGAAGGAGCGGGAGCGTGAGTCGCAGAGCGAGGTGATTATCTCGCGCGCCGAGTTCATCAGCGCCTTTGCGACTCCGCAGAACTCCGCCCTCATCCACCGCATCTATGCGATGCTCGCGGCGGACTCGCGCCGCGCCGGCGAGGAGGAGGGCGAAGGCGGCGTCGGGTTTGAAAGCTTCGCGGCGGGGCTGGCGCCGGTGGTGGCGGCGGACGCGACGCGGCGCGACCGCCTCCGCTTCCTCTTCGACGCGTGCGACCTCGACGGCTCGGCTCACACCGCGCCGGGCGGGCTGACACGTCGCCGACTGTTGACTGTGAGCTCCTGAGACGGGTAGGCTCTGGGCACGTCACGCCGGACGAGCTCCACGTGCTGCTGCACCACGCGTGCGGCGTCCCGGCCGAGTGTGTGGAGGCGGTCGTGGAGGCGACGATCCGCAGGCTCGACGCGGACGGCGAATTCTTCTTTTCTGCTCCGACACCGGGTCGCGGCAACCGCCGGCACTGAGCCGGCCACGGCTCGAGGAGGTAGGCGACGGGCTCATCTGCTGGGGCGAGTTCGAGGAGTACTACGCGAGCCGGCGCCGAAGCCTCGCGCGAGGCGCCCCCGGCCTTGTCGGCTGCTTTGATTGCCCGCCCCGCGTGAGTAGGCCGGACGAGCTCCGACAGCTGACTGCACACCTCGGCCTGTCTGTCAACCGGATCACCGCGAGGCTGGTGATGTCGCTCGACGCCGCGGGCAGCGCGCACTCTCGCCCCCCCGCCCCGCCCGTCAGCAGGCAGTGCCTCAGCCCCTCCCGGCTCGCGCGCAGGCCTAGCGCCTCCTCCCGGCCCGCGCGCACCGGGGGACACGTCTCGCGTGGTGCCCGTCCTGTCGGTGCGAGAGTAGCCGAGATTTAGCCGACGTACGGCCGCGGTGGAGCGAGAAGAGAGGGAGAGGGAGAGGGAGAGGGAGAGGGAGAGAGAGAGGGAGTCGAGGTTAGAGCGTGGCCAGGGTCCTCTCGGTGCGGCCCCCCCGCCCGCCTCCCCTCGCCCCCGCCACTCCCCCCCCCCCTCCCCCCTCCCCCCCTCTCCCGCCGCCGCATCAGGCGAGCGTACGCGTAGACCCTCTCGCAGACTACTCGCTCCGCCGCTCCGCCGCCGAGCTGCGCGAGGGCTCCGACCCGATCGCCATGCGTGCAGACCAGCCCCCGCCGTTCCACGCACGGGACACTGACTTCTTCGGCGGTGCGACCGCCTCAGAGACCGCCTCAAGACCGCCTCAGAGACCGGTGCGTGCGGGTAGGCGTGCTCGTCAAGTCGTCGCGCCAGCTCGAGCTGCTCGCCGCCGTCCGCACCGGTGGAGTGGAGCGAGGCGGTGTGGCGCGAGGACAAGCTGCCGACGGCGTCTCTTCACGGCTGCATGTCTGTGGACAGGTGGTCGGCGAGGTGGCCGGCTCGACGGAGCGGGTGGTGAAGCTTGCAGCTTCGGTGGAGAGCCTCTCGTCGCACCCGGTCAGATGCGCCGGGGCCGAGAGTGGCCGAGAGTGGCCAAGAGTGGCCGAGATTGGCCGAGATTGGCCGAGATGCAGCAGCGTCGGCGGAGAGGTGGGACGCTCGTGCATCCTCCCCTCCCCTCTCCTCCCCTCCCCCTTCCTCCTCTCCTCTCCTCTCCCCTCCCCTCCTCTCCTCCTGGCACCTCCCCTCCTCCCCCCCCCCTCCCCCCCCCCCCCCCTTCTCCTCTCTCACCTCCCCCCCCCTCCCCTCTCCCCTCCCCTCTCCTCCCCTCTCCTCCCCTCCCCTCTCCGTCTCCCCTCCTCTCCTCCCCTCGCTCCCGAGATATGGGCGAGATGTGGGCGAGATATGGATTCATCAATACATCGTCAATTGATTGGGGTAGCCCCTCTAATTAGTTAACCAATGAATAGGCGCCTCGTCCGTGGAGCGAGATTAGCCGAGGTCCGCCGAGGCGAGGCGAGGCAAGCCTGCAATCCGTCGATAGAGAACACGTCGGAAGGTGGGACGGGGGGAAGCCGAGGCTCGTCTAGGGGTCGGTTGACAGAGACAGTTTGGAAGGTCGGCCGAGCTCGGTGAGGCCGAGATTGCGTGAGATCACAGGGGCACGAGTGTGAGTGCCGGCCGGGTCAGCCGAGATGAGCGAGATGCCGAGATTAAGTCCGAGATACGCGGTGAGATTCGGCAAGGCTAGGCGAGAAGTAGGTCAGCCGAGGTCAGGCCAAGATCAGACCTCCGCCCAGATCCGCCCAGATCCGCCCAGATCCGCCCAGATCCGCCGAGATTGTCCGAGATTGTCCGAGATTTGTCCGAGATCGACCGAGATCGACCGAAGTCGAGATAAAATGATGTAACTTTGGTTTTTTCTCGCAGGTGCCGCCTCCTGCCCTCTGCCCGTCGCTCGTCGAGGCTGCTGCGGCGGCGACGCGCGCAGTGAGCGAGATTTGGCCGAGAGTGGCCGAGATTACAGAGCCTGCGGCGCCGGTTCGTGCACATTCGAAGCCGTCGGCGTCTGGCCCGCGCGCACGAGTCTGCACTCCTGCGTGCCGCGCGTCGCCACCGCCCACTCCACCGACCCGCGCGCTGGGCAGCACAGCGGCGGCCGTGTGCCCCTCCATGCGGGGCGACCGCCGCTGTGCTGCTACCTGGTCCGTGCTCTCTGTAGCGGCGTATATACTGAACGTAGTGGTCCGTCCCCCGGCCCGTCCAATTCGGCGACACAGAGATCAGAGTCGGGCTCGTGATTGTTCTAGCTTAGACCAATCTCTCTCTCTCTCTCTCTCGTCTCGACTCTCGTCGCGCGGTTTCGTAACACCGGGTCGTTGCGGCCCGGGGTAAAAAGAAAAACATGTCGCAAAAAGGGAATGCAGTGGGGGGGGGGGGGGCAAGCGGCAAGGCGCAAGCAGTGAGGTGTTGGCATGACCGCGAGGCGCTGCTTGTGGGCGCGCGTGCCGCGGTAAATAAACAAATAAACCCCCGGCCTTTCAGGTTTCTCCAGTTTGGGGGATGAGCAAGTCGCTTAGGGACACTGTCGCTTCGCCCACACGTCGCGGATGGAAGGACGGTCGACGCAGAGGAGGGCGGGGCCTATCCCTGATGCGTACGCGGTGACAATGTCCCAAGCGGTCCTAGGGCGGCGAAAGTCCGACCTTACCTCCCACACGGCACGAATCCATCTCGCGACTCCCGGAGCGTTGCGGTTTGCGGCCCCGTTTCGCCGCGTGCGTCGGCGAAGGGCGTCCCGTGTGCTGGACGTTGTTGACGAAGGCACCACCTTCACGCTGGCATTCAATTGCGGCTAACGTGTGCCAAAAAGGGAAGCAGCCAGAGCCTGCGCGCAGATCCGTTCGAGGCAGCAGCACAAGCTCGTCTCTGTCCTAAAGACATACGGTAAGAGCAGGTGCCTAGAGCGAGAGGAGCTGCTCCCGCTCGCTTGCTCGGCCAACCGTCATCTCCGCTCGGTCTTGAAGTCCAGTAGTGGCCACCGGCCGGAGCCTACCACCTCATTGCCGTTCGGCAAGATAAGACGCAACATGCGCCAACATAGCTAAATTAACACATCAATCAATAGCCCGTCGGTCCAGAGCAATGCTGCTGTCGCCCGCCGCATCGATCCGGCTCGCAACCACTCTGGCGGCTGGATCGACTCCATCATTGACCGAATTGCCTCGCGCTCATCAAGGTGACAAGCTCCCATCGACGACAAGCGCGTAATGTAATATCACATTCTTGTTGTCCGCTGCCGCTCCCCGTCCCAAGTGTCAAGAGCTAGAATTTTTAAAGGAGAGCTCGGTCTCAAAGGAGCTCTCGAGCGAGGCCCGACGCAGGCGCGGACTGTGGCACGTGCTGGGGCACACTAACATGAGCTGGAAACACACAGCGACCCCACAGACTCCCCGACCTTCGTCGCAAAAGCCGGTGGGTAAGTATTCTTGGCTGGTGGCGGCTCTTACCCAGGCAGGTAGGTAGAAAGGTGAAGAACTCCAGAGGAGGGATGGGAGGACGGCACGCCGCCACACACAGGGGTTTAAAGGCTGCCCCGACGTGAGTCGCAAAAGCCGGCGCAAGAGCCCGCGCAAATTCGGCCAGCGAAAATTCTTTTCCTTGTGGCGGCTCTTAGCGGTGGAGTCGCAGGACCTGGATCCTCCGTCAAAAATGGCAAGAGTCTTCACGCAGGCGGCCTCCCCGCTCAAGCTCAACCTCCACGCACCCAAACCCGCGTCGCGCTTCGACGACCTCTCCTTCGACCCGATGGACGCCTCGCCGCTGCCGGCGCGCGGCCTCGCCGCTGCCGGGTGCGTACAAGCCATGCCCCCCAGACGCTCCACTTCCTCCGCCCGCGCTCCTCTCGTCTGCGCCTCTCACCGCCGAAGCCACACTTCACCGCCGCGGCCGCGCTCCGCCCAGGCGCGGCACGAAAGTGATCCTCACCGACCTCCGAAAGCACGACGACCTCAACGGAGAGGTCGGCTTCATCGTCTTCAAGCCAGACGACCGCTTCGACGGCGAGCTCCGGTACCGCGTCCTCCTGCGCGACCACCCGGACATCGTCTTCGCCAAGGGCTCAAACCTGCTCGTCGACACGTGCGCACCACTTGCGCCGCGCGCCGCTTCACCCGCGCGCCCGCCGGTCCGTATCTCCAACTCTTCGCTCCGCGCCCCTCGCCGCCCGCGCAGGACCGTCGACGACCACCCGATCCAGTCGCTCCTCGACTGCTTCAAGCAGAAGCTCGGACTGACCGCCTCGATGTGCCACTCCGTGCTCGCGCAAGCCCTGTCCGAGTCGATGATCCAGCCGGCGCGCCGCGCACTCGCCACAGGCCCGCACTCGCCCGCGCGCCCCGCCCCTGACGGCCTGCCCGTCGGCGCAGGTGAACCCCCCCGCCGGAAGCGACGGGGACATCACCTTCCGCCTCTCGCTCCTCGCAAGCCTGTCCCCGGTCTGCCTGGAGGACCCGCGCGGCCAGCTCGTGGCGCGCCTCGCCCGCGCCTCCCACAGCCGCGCACGCCCCCCGCTCTCAGAGCGCCCCATCGCGAACCGTGTCTGCGCAGATCTGGGACGCCGCCTCCTTCGACCACGAGTCCGACAGCGCAGTGGTCGAACTTGCAAAGATTCCCGATGAGCAAGCGCTGGTGCGTCCAAATTCGAACGCAGACCAGTTGGAAGCATCGCCGCTCAGCTTCAAAAACACCGTTCCCGACTGCCGCACCGCCCCAGGAGAACCGCTGCCTTTGGAAGAACATCCTTCCGGTCAAGATCAAGCGGAAGGTCAGCCTTCTGCTGGACGAGGGCCTTCTCTCGTGGCAGGATGTCCTCGAGGTTCGGCAGGGCGACGCAACTCCCGGCCCGCGCCGTGCGCGCTCCTCACCAGCTCGTGGCGATGTGACGCGCTCAGGACGGCAACGTCTTCTGGGAGATTGCGTACACCGACACCCCCGACTGGCCGGAGCCGGAGCGGTGGTACCAGGCATCCCGACCCCCGCCATCGCCCGTTCGTGGGGCCCTCGCCGTCCCCACGCAAACTTCGACTCTCGCCCGCGCTACCCCACCTCCCGCCTCGAGCTCTCTCTCTCCGCTGCGCCCTCACGCTACACCCTCACGCTCACTCCGCCACGCCGCAGACCGTCTGCAACTTCTTCCAGCTCCTCGCGGCGCGCGCGCCTTCCCTCGCTCGCGCGCCGCACCGCATCGCTCCTCGCCGCACCGCTCCTCGCCGGGACACCCTCGCGCGCCACACGCTGCCCAGCCGCATCGCCCGCACCGCCCTCGTCCACACCCCGCCCCCTCCCGCTTACGCGTGCCGCAACCCCGTGCCTCTCGCCGCGACAGTGGGAGCGGCTCATGCTGAACCCCGCCAGGCTGTACCCGACGGCGCGCCTCCAGATCGTCCGCGACCTCTTCTTTCGCGAGTGGCAGGCTCGAGCACACCGCCCAAACCCCCGCCCCACCGGAGCCGCACCGCCCAAGCCCCCGCCCCACCGGAGCCGCAGCCGCAGCCTCGGCCGCTGACGTGAAGAGCACGTCGGGGATGCGTCGCACACCGCGCCCCCCTCCCCGAACGCAGTGCGTCCCGCCATATCAACGCGTCACCACTCGCGCCCCCGCCGCAGAGCCGCTCGCGCCGCCTCGGCCGCGAGCTGTACCCGCTGTACTTCCCCGACGAGCCGGAGGAGGCGCGCGCGGCGATGGCCGTCCGGGCGAAGACGCTCTCCGACTACGAGGAGGAGCGCAATCGGCAGGCACGCGTCTCGAGAGTAGCCTCCCCCCCAACTTCGCCTCACCACGCTGCGGCGGTACCGTCGCCATCGTGACCCAGGCCACACACCACCCCCACATGCCTCGCAGCCCCGCCCGTCGGCACTCGGCCACCGCCGCCATCCCAGCCGGCTTAGCCACGACTCGCGCCTCCGCCTCCGCCGCCCCCGCGCACTCCCACGATGCCGTCACGGCCACATCCCCCACCATCCCCCCTCAGCTGCAGCCTCACGCTCGCCCCAGAGAGGCAGCCACAGCACACCTCCACCGCCCCACACACCGCCGCCGCCCGCCTCGAGCCGCCGCCGACCCTCCGCAGCCCCGCCACGCCCACCCCCTGCGCCGCCTCCCCGACCCCAGCAGTACGCCTCCCGACCCACGCACCCACCGACGCGAGACGTCGACCTTCCCAGCGACCAGACCCCGCTTCGCTTCATGCGATTGTGCAGATCCTCCCACCCCCCAACACGCCTTCGGCCACAGCCACAGACCACGCTGCCGCCGCCTCCGCCGCCACCACCGACACGGACGGCCGCCCCCGCCCCCTCCTCCGCCCTCGTCGCCACCCCACCAACTAGCCTCCCCGCCACCCTCGCCTCACCACGCTGCAACGGCGCTGTCGCCATCGTGACCGAGGCCGCACACCACCCGCACATGCCTCGCAGCCCCGCCCGTCGGCACTCGGCCACCGCCGCCACCCCGGCCGGCCCGGTCACCACCCGCGCCTCCGCCTCCGCCGCCCTCGCGCACTCCCACGATGCCGGCCACATCCCCCACCATCCCCTCTCGGCTGCAGCCTCACGCTCGCCCCAGAGAGCCACCCACACCACACCTCCGCCGCCACACACACCTCCGCCGCCCGACGCGAGGCGCCGCCAGCCCTCCGCAGCCTCGCCACGCCCACCCCCCGGCGCCGCCTCCCCGACCCCAGCAATATGCCTCCCGACCCACGCACCCACCAAGGCGAGACGTCGACCTTCGCAGCGACCAGACTCCGCTTCGCTTCACGCCCCCCCCCCCTCGGCACAGGTGATCGAGAACCAGCAGATGCTCGTCAAGCTCGGCATCACGACGCTCGTGCAGGCCACCCGTCCACCCTCTCTCTCCTCCCCTCCCACTCGCAACACCCACCCACTTCTCGCCACCCGACTCGCTCGCACCCCGCCACCCTCTCTCGCCTCTGCCCGCCTCGCACAGTCACTCGCCTCCGGCCGCCTCTCGCTCTCCTACCGCCACATCACGCTCTCACTAGCCCTCCCCGCCGCTCTGCCAGGACATCCGCAACGAGCGCGGCGAGGCCGAGAAGAAGGCCAACGAGCGCCGCGAGCAGCCCTCGACCAGCTCGGCGCCGACTCGCGCCTCGGCGCGCCAGGCGTCGGCAGACTACAACCAGCCCAACTACCTTGTGCGCCGCCGCCCCCACCCAGAGCCGCGCGACGCACCGCCCGCCCTCACCCGGCCGCCCTCCGCGCCCTGGACGCGCCCCCCGCCCGCCCCTCGTCTCCTCTGCCACCGCGCCTCCCCCTCCAACGCCTCCGCCTCCGTGACACGTTCGCGTCGCCGCCGCCACGCCTCCCGAGCCCACCACCCCCATCGCCGCCGCCGCCGTCGCCACCGCCGCCGCCGCCGCCATCCCTGCCGGCCCGGTCACCAGCCGCGCCTCCGCCTCCGCCGCCCTCGCGCACTCCCACCGTCACGGCCACATCCCCCACCGACCCCTCTCGGCTGCGGCCTCACGCTCGCCCCAGA